AAAATCATTCAATTATTTAAAAGCATGTTTTAAATAATTGTATACAAAAGTTAATTATAAGACGATTTATTTATCAAAATATGTAGGAAATAATTGAATAAATTAATTTCATCGCGAGAAATGAGGAACTTTTCTTTTTAAAGTAAAAGTCGATCGCATTGTATGTACTTACCTGACATCTTTCAACTACACGGAATATGCTATTACAATGTTTATAGCAGTATTGTACAAAAATAAAAAATGTATTTAAATAGGAAAACATATGTTCCTTCGTGTTTTTTCCCGTACAATTCAATGGTCTTATTAGTTTTTGAATTATTTTTTTATTTATAACAAATTATTAACAATAACCAAAAAATTTGTTTTTGCAAAATGAAGTTTTTATATTTTTCAATTTTTAGACATGTTTTTAAATGAAAGCTGTATTGTTTTATTATTTCATTAAAAAGTAGACGTCAAAACGAAAAAAATGAGCCCTGTATGACCTCTCTACGATGATTGTAAGTAGTAAAATGTAACTTTGAAAACAACGTGTCTCGGACCGAAATAAATGAATTTTTCAAACAGGTTTTAATATTTCAATCTAAAATTTTGTTTTTGTTGTTTGGGACACAAAAAGAAGTACTTTCAGCAAGTTAGGTTTAAAAATATTTATTTTTGAGAAATTGACAAGTAAAAAACGAAAAACAATTTTTTTTTTGATTTATTGCATTTTTTCTGAAATTTTGAGGTTATATTAAAAAATGACCCATACAAAAGTTGTAGATTTTTCCAAGATCTACAACTTTTGTATTTAACGTTTTTCAGTGGGACATCAAATTTCGCGTGAAATTGCAAAAAACACGAGATGTATCCATTTTCCCCCCTTTTCAACCCCTAAAATCATCCCCTAACTTTCTTGGGCACATAACTCATTTTCCTTATGTTGACTTTAACCCTTTTAACCATTTGAAAAGGTATGTATCTGGATAACATTTTTCTTTTTTTATCTCTGTAAATGAGTCAATGTGCCTGGACTAATAGCATATATTCAAGATTGAATTTTGATGATTATTTTTAGTATCATAGGTAACTATTTCTGCAATAACTGACCTCTCTTGTCGTAAAGCTTATTTTCAATATTTTTTAAGGTTTTTTCTCTAGTATTTCAACAAAACAGTATTATAGACTTGGAATCTGAAACTCTAATCCTAAAGTATAAAACGAGAAAAATATCGGCTACCCTCATATCTGTTGAAGCCAGCTTCGTATTTGTATTTGGCCCCGTTGAAACTTTCATAAGGTTCTACGTTTTGTTGCAAGCCGTTGCTACCAAGCAAGGTATAGGATATTTTCAACATCGCTATTGCAATATTGGAGCGATAATCAATACAAAGAGCATTTTTTTGATAGCATTTTTGGCATTATTTGAGAAGTTTATGTTTTAAACAAGTGACTTGTATACTCCAAATATCTGAGTAAGAAAAGTAAGGAGTCATCACTACCAGAAGCCAATCGCCACTCTGTTACCATTCATTATCATCGTTTTGGCCATTTGATGTCTGTCACCGACCATGACTTCCTGAATTTTATTGCAGTACACAGTTAGGTATGTACATACCCAATGTTGTTTAAATAATTTCTAATTTTATATTTCATCTTTGCACTTACCGCAATATATATTTTTACGTCAGCTTAAGTTTGACTGCTAAAATTGAATTAAATTATTTTTTTTATTGTGTTAATAATTATTTGATAAAGTTAACGAGTAGTGACCATATTTAGAATAATCAAAAATAAGGCATGAAAAAGGAATTAAAAACTTGATGAGATTATACTACCAAAGTGACATGACAGAGAATCCAATACAGTAGAAGTAGTAGAGGAAGTCAATTCAATTTAATAATTACTTAAAAAATAAACATTACTAAGAAGATATGTCAGACACATATCTTCTGATCTCATAGTTACCAATTCTGTCAGTTAGTAAGAAGTTTACCTTAAAACCGAGTACATTCTGCCACTGAAACGTAACGTAACGCATAAATACGTGTATTTGTTGTCATTCCGTTTATAATATAGCCCGAACTTACCTGAAACAATATTTATTTGAGTTAGTATTTTTTTTAAATTTACAGTGCAGGTTCAACTTAAATTTAATAAATTATCTAGGTTTTATAAAATCGTAATATCATAGTTCTTTCTTATGAATTTACATATAAAAAGAACTATCATAAAAAGGCCCAACTAAAAATGTAAAAGCATTATCCTAATGAGTTCGCCCTTTTTCTTAAGTTCGCGGCATTTTCTTAATGACTGTAAATGAATATCACCATTTTTTAAATATTGAGACATAATTTGAGCGTAATATTTCGGCGTATTGTGGTAAAACTATATAACCTTTATCCTAATTTCAAGCACCATAGACCACATAAGTAATATAAACAACAAACCTACTTAGTACTAAAGACTGCGAATAATTGCTTTAGAAAATCAAACAGATATAAAGCAAACAACGAAAGAGGTTACTAAATTATCTGTAGAATACATAAACTATTCGAAATTAAAATGAAAAACTATTGTTGCGGCTAATATATCGTTGTTTAAAGAATATATATTAAATAAAGTCGGAGGCACACCTAGGTCGTCACGTATACAAGATAATGACATCACGCGTGCTAGGCACAAATTTTCAAGATCGTGTGTGTAAGACTTGCTTATTATAAATTAAAACCTTTTTTGTGGAATGCTTCGTATTTCTTAAAATGAATTTATGGTTTCACGTAGGGATCATTTCTCTTATTCTCTAAAGTTTTTTTTTGTGGGCATATTTTTACGTTATATTTGTAAATTTGACATAATATGGACCGTAATCCGGGGCAATATATCAAAAATATTATTTCATACATACATAATCTCGCGTTTTTCTTTCTCTCAGACAGACAGAGAAAATAAGGTCGCTATGAGGTTGGATTATGTTTTTACTTCAATGTTATTTTACTTTTCATATAAAATTTTATTAATTAAACAACACAACGATAGTCGGTGAAGAAATAATCATTATTTCAGAAACAAAAGTTAATGATATTTAAGAGGTGTAAAAGAAAACATTTTTAAAAACAGTTTTTTTTTCGATCATCAAATCAATAAGGGTTTTCTGAAATGTTCTACGTGAGATGGCAGCACTGTAGCGTCAGATCCAACCACCTGTCAAAACACATACACGATTTGTATTTTTTGATCATTTTTTTGGTTTATTCATTCTTACGTTACTAAAGGAATATTGTTTTCTAAAATGCCACAGTGTTGTGCAGTGCCTATGTGTGCAAATAAAACTTTTGCGCCTCTCTTTTTGAGCTCAATCTTCAGTTCGGCAACCTTTCTATGGCCGTAATCTATAATAAACTCAATAACACTTCCAAATTCATAGAATTTCACTAAAATATTATACGTTCGGTAAGAATCTGTGCTATCTGACAGCTGTTTGGACCTGACGCATACGAAGCGCCGTCTGGTGGCAGAAAAAATATCGAAAACCCTCATTGGCGCCCATGGTAAGTGTGATCTTATACTCCATAGATAATTTATTTATGGTAACTTAAAAAAACATTCTATAAAATTTAAAAATCATAAAAGATAGAAACTAATACTTAAAAGAGATCTGAGACGCTTTGTAACGGTTTCTGGGTTATTTAAATATAAAATTTGAACATAATTATTTCATTTACTTTTCAAGTTTCACCTAGAAATATATACATAATAAATTTTAAAATTTACACGTAATATAAAATACATAATCATAGTCATATAAATACATAATCATAGTCATACATAATTATAATCATTTAATATATAAATGAACACCTTTAGAAAATAAATAAGAAAGTATTTGATCTACTCAACATTATATGTAAATCTGAAATGAAACAAACACTGACGAAATTTGATACAATCCTTCAACAAACAAAAGCTTAAGAGATTTTAAGATCGATCTTGTCCATTATAGAATACAGTTTATAATAAATAAATATTACTGCCTATCGTACCTTGTTGGTTATTAATTAAAAGATTTTATTGATCATATTGGGCCTCTCGGCAAGAGCTCGTTACACAAACCGCAACCGTTGAAAATATCGGTGTCCGCAAAGTCAACAGTTCAGCATAATTGAATCGACATAGGTAATGGTTGTGATAAAGGAAGGTGGGTCGCCACCTGTAAGGGGGGTGCCACGTGCAGAAAAGGTGCGAGCGAGACAGATATAGATTCTCTCTGTCATTCTAATGGCCGACGTATACGTGTGCTTACAGGTAGCGTGGGTGCTATGCGTGGCGAGGCAGGAGACCGACGCAACATATGTTGCGCGTCGAAATATATGCCACACTCCGACCTGTTATTTTGCTTCACAGAGACGTACGTACGTAAATAGGCGTCTGTTACAAGTTTCGATTTCGATACGCTTTGTAAGGCGGAGTTCGATAACGAATTCAATCATGGAGAAGTAGATGACGCATTTTGCTCTCGTACGCGTCAAGAAACAATTGTAAAGGGGTATTAGTTACCCGCGGTAGCACCAAAAAAGGAATATTTCAATAAATTATTACGCCATAAATACATTTATGTCATCTGTTCTATGAATTTAATATCTATGTTTTGAACGTCAAGGTTACATAAGTCAAATGAAAACAACATTATCATGTTGTGTAAATAAATTATTTTGTAACTAAACATAATATAGCCGCAAGGCTAGACCATATAGACCAGAACCAAGCCCACTTCAGAATAATAGTTCTTAAACCCTAAGTTATTCAACATGCTGTTTGATAGTTCCACGGTACTTTTATATTTTACCAATATTATACAAATGGGCATGATCTTACTTTTACTCATACCGTTCTGCGATTTTGTTAGACTTGCTAAAAATATCCAAGAATACCAAACAAATATAGTAAAAAATGACTTGACTCGAACTTTAGGTATCCTGTATATAATGATTATATGTGGTTATGGAATTATTAAGCCAATGAGAATACTTAACCATTATAAAATATCAAGAGTTGCTAAGGAAGCAGAAACAGCGCACGAAAAATTAAAACGTATCATAGAAACAACATATGCTACTAGAAACTATTTACTGGCAGGTTTTTCACTTTTCTTTACATTAGTTACTTGGAGATTATTTGACTTTATAATATTTTCAGCAAAACTTTATGAATTCTCTCAACTGATGTCAAATTATCATGTGATTGACCTCAGCTGTATTCAAGATTCATCTGAACCACGTCCATCCATTATAAACGACAATTTTGAGTTTGAAGAAGAAGAAAATGATGGCGAAAACATAAAATGGCCTTCCGTAATCAAACTACATAAGCAAGATGCTAAAACACTAAAATCTTTTTTCCAAACAGATGAAATTAAAAGTGAGAAGGGACCAACTGAAGAAGGTAAAATTGTTAGAGATGATATTAATGGTGCAGTGGAAACAAACAGTAAAAAGACGGAACAAGTTCTAGAAAATTCGACAAACGTTCCAGAAGAGCGAGATAAAAAAGACTAGCAAACTAGGTAATGTTACTGAGCATGTGATAAAACTTCTACGCTATATTTATCATTTTTTACAATCAAGAGCATATCATACACATAAAAATGATTAATATTTTTAGCGTATGTATAGGAATAATCCTATTTGCGCAACTACTGTTAGTTGTAGGACTTTTAAAGCCTGTGAGGGACCCAAGCTGTATAAGAGATTTCTGGGCCAAATTTCAAGAACGATGTATAAGCCAAACAAAAATATTGTTATCTTTGCTTTCTTTTTTATTACTTAACACAGCTTTGGAAATTACTTGGGAAAACTCACATTATCACGAAATACTTCAGCAGGTTCCTAATACTGGCTTGGTTCTTGAATTTTACTCAAGTAAGATTTCATTATGTTATACTTGTTGCCTTATGGCTGTTTATATTTTATTATTGATTGAAAGATTAACTGCTTTTTTATTGAGGATTGCTCGATTATTGGAATTTGAACTAATGTGCAGACATGCTATATTAACAAGAGACAATGCCACACAAATGTCTAACGCCACTATTGTAACATGCAGTCACATTCATCCCGAACATCGGTTTATACAATTTCTACTATCACTTCCTACAAATCAAAATAAAAATCAAGATGAAGTGACTATAACAGAATACTAAATTTATTGATGTGTTCTAAAATAAATGTTTATTTACTATTTTCATCTTTTATTTTAGGCTATGTTACTACAAATAAATAAAACACAGTAATTAGAGAATAAAATTTGAACTTTTCACTCTCAAATTTACTAACAATTCAGTTATAACATTCTAATAGCCTAAATGAGCAACTAGCAACATCAGTGATAAGTTGGTCAAAAATAATGCACTAAGACGCTTCAGTAAATTTCATTTACATATTTCAAGTAACTGCTCAGTTTGCTCATACGGCAGTTAATAATTATGTAACTAATGTGGTTTTATAGCTGACATAATTTAATTAGCTCTCTATTTAATCTATTATATGGAAATGGACCTAGAAAAGTAAATAATCTATTTGAATAAATGAACTTTAAACCTGATTGTGAGGCACAGACTATATGTTTTCGTCTTTTGTTAGAAATATCAGCTCGATAGTAGTAAGTAATGTATGTTGTTTTAGTACTGTGTGATATATGAAAATTTGTCAGTCAGTCACAATTGCACAATTTATATAATATAGCTGTGGGAAATAGGAAAGGTCAGGAGGAGGCTACTTTTAGAATCGCTCGTTAAGCTCTTTCTAGAGGCAAAATAATAGTTTTTAGTCCTCCACCCCATGAAGTTATACAATATTGGATGATTGATTGACAATTGAATATATTTAATCTTGTCAGCATTTAATGTTAGAAGATTATTCTTTAACCAAGTCTTAAAGCTAACACAATATTAAAGCCAAACTGGGCGCTCTCATATAATTAGTTGCTAATTATGCGATAAATATTAGCTGCTAATGCTGACAACACCAGCATATGATATCATATTTCCATGTCTTAAGGTGAGATTACATAGATTGTTAATTTATACCAGGAAAAGCGTAGGACTAAATGTACTTCCCTGGGGAATGCCAAGCCCTGGTATTTTTTTATCATTGCTCACGACATTTCCTATTTTAACACATTGTTGCCGATTGCTTAAATAGTCTGCGAAAAGTTTAAGCTGCGTATCACTTATACCAATTTGTTTAGCAGTGAAGAAATCGATATAGTGTCAAATGCTTTGGCAAAGTCTAGAAAGATCCCTAAGGTATGATTACCTTTGCCGAGTGCACTAGTCATAAAATTAGTTCACTAGTAATAAAAAACATGAACCGCGTCAGCTGTGGACAATTTAGATCTTAAACCATATTGTGCTGGCGAGAGAAAATTATTGTTCTAGGTATATAACTAGCCTAGTGCTAATATTTTTTTCTAATATTTTTGATAATGAAAGGAGAATCGATATAGGTCTATAGTTTCTGCCTAGATATTTACTCAGGAATAACTACCGCTTTTTTCAGGCATGTAGGAAAAATCCCTTCAGAGAGGCAGAGGCGGCAAATGTACGTTAGCGGAGGTACAAGAATGTGCATGAAACGTTTAAGAATTTTAGTACTTATATTATCCGTCCGACAACACAATCATCACTCATACCTAAGATGATTCGCTCTATTTAGCCTTCATCAGTGTTCAGCATGACAAATATATATATATATATTTTACTACATATATATATATATATATATATTTTATATATTTTTATATATTTTACTACATTCACACAACGCCATCTAGTCCCAAACTAAGCAGAGCTTGTACTATGGGTACTAGACAACTGATATAAATACATATATACTTTTTTTTTGTAAATACATACATATTATACATAGAACCACCCAGACCAAATCAAACATTAAATGTTCATACACACAAATGTTTGACTTGTGCGGGAATCGAACCCACGACCTTTGGAATAGCAGTCCGTTACACAAACCACTACGCTATCCGGTCGTCATGACTTTAGACTAGGGTTATCACTTGCTTTTTAAAGAAGCGTAGTAGTATGGCTACAAGTTTGTGGCCTAGTGCGTTCGGCATGAATTTTACCTACGTTTACAAAAAATATATATTAACCTTGTTAGTTGACAGAAGTGGCGAAGTAAACTCTAGTTTGATTTAGGGTTTTTTAAAGTATAAGTGACGTTTTTGTAATATGTTTCTAAATTTCCTTACTATTCTTACCTGCTCTATGCAATATATATTATTATTACAGAAATTTCTGTACCTCTTGTATGTTGTTTGAAGCGCCAAACTATCTGGAGATCGACGAGCAGTCTGATGGAGTTTTGTCTCTATGATCAAGACATCAAACTAGACCAAGGGTTATCCAAGGTTTAATATTGCAATACTTCTTTTTCAAGATAATTGTAGACGTGTTATGTAATATTGCTTGTTAAACATTCTGTATTAAACACGATAAAGAGACAAGCGTCAGAACTATTGTAAACTTTGCTAAAATCAACATTACATAAAGCATACTCGAGCTTGTTTATATTTAAATTAGTCTTTGTTGTAGATTGATTTTGCCTAGCCAGCGTTAAATATACAGCGAGTAGAACGGCGTGATGATCAGTAAAGGTTGAGTTAGTAACTAGCGTGATAGATGATAAGCTAGATTTGATCATCATATGATCGAGACAGGAACAACTCTGATGTGTTGGCAGTGTGTGCGCAGGGAGAAGCCCATGGTATGAGCACAGATAAAGGTAGTCTTGTGTTCCCTAATCAGGTCCAATATTTATGTTTATGTCACCTGTTAGTAATGAGTTGCGTGTTTTAAAGAACTATGCGCTTGAAGGGCTTTTTGCTTGAGTGACTGATAATGAACAGTCATTTGGGCAACTCCGTTTGTTACTTTACGGCAAAGGTTATTTATTTTTATCTTTTGGTCCGAGTTCAGCTTGTCCTAAGATGCAATAGTAAAAACTTAATTTAAGCACTGATCAATAGATCCCATCCAGCCGTATATCTCCGGGGTTGATACTATTTCTATTTTTTTTTCCGATGGCTCCGGTCTACGTTGTTGAGGAGTCGTGCGTGAAGGAGTACGGCGCGTTATACCGCTCCTTTTAAGGGGGCTGCTACTTAAAGTCACTTATGCACTTAATTTTGATGTTTATTGGTTTGTTGTTCATTTATCTGCTTACATTTGTAAGATACACTAAAACTAGGACAATATTTATAGAAAAGTAAATTTACAACTGTTATTATTGCACCTCTGTTTGCGACGATGATTCGGCAATGTCTGTCTGACAATGAAGTAGGTGCATTTCATTTGAAATACGATAAGACTATTGTTTTTATTGACCCAAACAAATAAAAACTCTTTTGGTAATAAAAGTGTGATATCATGTTGACAATCATGACAAAAAAGTAAAATAATTTACAAAACGAACACTTGCCATGAAGTGTCAATAAATTGTCAGAAGTAAAATTAAGCAAAAAATGGATTCAAATTAATAAAAACGGAAACTAAAATACCTGACCCAAAATGCCAGTAAAATAAACGTAACTCGTGTTAATCCTAATATCAAAATGGACGCTAGCTACATTTTCCTTACTCTATTGCTACTTATCCAAATGGCCTTAATTCTGACCATGCTGAATCCGGTCTATGATGTCCGTAAAATAACGTCGTGCATAAACAACTTAACAAAGAGCTACAGAAGGTTGTATGTCATGTTCATAGCTATATATTTTGTCTCAGTTATGTACCTCGGCATGTACATTCCTCTGCAAAACGTTCACAAGCTGATATTTTACGATTACGTCAAGGAATACGACAAGATGATTCTTTTACATAATGTGGAAAAAAACTACATCACTGCGGGATTCTCACTATTTCTTGTTGTGGTAATGTGTGGAGTCAGATCTTTGATTTCATATACCGCAAATTTAAGTGTCCTAATGGCGAAACGCAGCGCCCCATTAGTTGTTCAAACGAGGGCTACAAGCTTATATTCATCAGAGAATTTACCGCTAAGTTTTCTACGAGTGAAGAGGTCGATGTCCTATGAAACTGTGTTATTTACTAATGAGCTTCGAGAACAATTAAAGAACATTTTGAAAAGTTTCGAGTATCTACATGATGATACCCCTATGCTGTCTAGTGTCTTAGAGGCAAGTAGCAAAATCTAATAATAACAATAAATATCTCTTTTGTTCTTTGTCGTTTTTTTTTAAATTCAGGGATGCCTACACAGAAGGCAAGAATTTGCGAATTCCTCTGTATTATTCCAAGCGAGGCAATGGATAATATTTCAAGATACGGTTATATGTAAAATAAAATGCTGGTAAAGGAGTGAGGAAAGAAAAATGTTGAATACAAGAACGAGTGGGAAAAAGAGGATCGTGCATACATTAAAGGGCCATAATGTTGTTCATAAACTTGAGAGTATAACACATAAGGTACTCCTGTAACTAAATAGCTATAACTTGTTGTACTTCCATGACGAAGTTT